GCCCAGTGCAGGGAAGGAAATGAGGGAGGGATAAGATTGAGAATGCAGTCCGTACCATAGTGGGAGGAGTGCAGGGACATCAGAAAGTTGTAGGGCTGTGGAAGTTAGCTTACATTAAGCAAAAGTGAAATACTGAGGCTGTTGGAAATCTGAAATTCAGAACCGAAAATTGTTGGAAACCCCACTCAGGAGCATCTGTGGGGAGGCAGGAACAGAGTTACCGCTTCAGGTCAATGGTCTTTCAGATGTGGGAAAGGGTGGAGACTGAACATTTTATAAATGAGTTTGGAAATCGGGAAAAGTGGGCAGGGGAGGGAAGGGAAGGAGCCATTAAAAACCAAAAGGGATCATGGTGAAAGACATAAAAGAATAGCCATTTGATAGTACAGATCTCGAATATTACTGAAAAAAGACATTTTGATGATACTTGTTTCTTGTACTTATCAGGACATTTGCAAGAATGCAAATTTTTAAGGGAAATCACATTTTGTATTGTATGAGAAGAGAGTGCTGATTGTTTGGAGATGTTGACTCTGATTGGTAGTGACATTGTCACGGAGAATACACCACTTAGCTGATGACTTAGAGTTAACTGCCAAACATTGTTTAAATTTAAACCAGGCAGGTTGACTCTGATTGGTCAAGGCACTGCTTTCAGTACTTAAACCGAGAATGATTGTTCATGTCAGAAGTGGGATTCAAACCCACGCCTCCAGTCGGAGACCAGAACACCCAGCTTTAGCCTGAAACGTCAGCCTTCCTGCTCCTCTGATGCTGCTTGGCCTGCTGTGTTCATCCAGCTCTACACCTTGTTATCTCAGAGAATGATTGTTGTCTGTTTACTTAAGTTGGGACAGGCACAATGTGTGGACATGTTCTTTCAGATGACAATGCCTTGTGCGTAAATGTATGTAGCTACCAGTACACAAATCATCATGAGTTAGATCACCTCTACCAATCAGAGTCCACATATCAACAATCAACACACTCTTCTCATTCAGCATAAAATATTGTTCCCTTTTACATTTGTATTTCTTGTAAATGTCCTGATGAGTACAAGATGAAAATCTTTGGCAAAATATGTTTTTTCTTTCAGTAAAACTGGAAAGGAGATGATAATGGGATAGATAAAGAAACAAAGGGTAGGTCCAGAAGACATAAATAGTTAAAGCAGAATCATCATCAGTCCCCCTGTCTGAAAAAATGGGAGGGATGCTTACAATCTAAAGTTGTTGAATTCATCAGTTATCCTTAGACAGCATGTTCCAAACCCACAACCACCTCCGTCTCGAAGGACAAAACCAGCAGATATATGGGAACACCACCCCCTGCAAATTACCCTCCAAGCCACTCACCACCCTGACTTAGAAATATATCACCATTCCTTCACTGTCACTGGATCAAAATCCTGGAATTCCCTCCCTAAGGGCATCGTGGGTCTACCTACAGCACACGGACTGCAGCAGTTCAATAAGGCAGCTCACCCCCACCTTCTCAAGGGGTAACTAGGGCAATAAACGCTGGGCCCAGACAGTGACACCCACATCCAAGTGGATCAAAAAAAGGTTCATTGTGGTGGCTGGTAATGTGCATAAAATGAGAAATGTTCCTCAAGATTATGCCTCTCTTTGTTTACATGAAACACAAAAATTAGGAGCAAGAACAGGCACTTCAGCCCCTCAGGCTTGCTTTGTCATTCAAGAAGTTCACGGCTGATCACTTGTGCCCTCATCATCACATTCCTGCCTATCCTCTGATAACCATCAACTCCCTTGTTAATCAAAATTCTACCTACCTCTGCCTTATAATTGCTCAGTGAGCCTGCCTGTTTCATTGTTGTGTGTTCTCCCCTTTGCAGCAAAAGTTGCAAAGTGTAGCCAGGATAGTAGGCTACTGTCAGCATGTTTGGCTGGATAATGAATGCTCCTTCCTCACCCAGCTAGTCCTGTGTTGGCATTAGCTGCTGGCTCAGAGATGGGAACTGTCTGTCGCAAGGCTGCCTAAACTACATCAACACAACTCCTTTTCACTGCTGGGATGAAACGTTGAGAGTTCACCTTGTGCCCGAGCTTAAAAGTTGCTTCATACATTTACCGCCACCCCTCCCCAACCCCACCCCCAACCCCATGCCCACCAGCCCGTTCCCATCACCCCAGCCCTGTAATATCATGGGGATGAAAAGTGGGAAGTTTCTATAACAGGCAATCAGCAAGGTCAACTGTACTCTCAGGTAGAAATTTGAAAACCCAACTTCTCAGATTTCTCAGGTTAGGGGTTAGAGAATGCAGAAGCTTTGTTACGTGTCTAAATGCCCCATCACTACTATGTTGATCTGCTGCCAGAAGCAGAATGAGTTTTGTTTACTTTGCCATGGGAACCCAGGTCTCTGCCAGCTGGTGGCTTCCCAAATGTTGATGATAGCTCACTACTTAATGGACTTACTCATCTTCCTGATAAAGGTCACTCCTCATGTTGACCACAATCAAAGATAGCAGCAAAGAGAAACAGAGATTTCAAGTAACAGGAGGATAAATTTTCAAGATTACGGGGTAAGGGTGTGGGAGGGAACTAGGTGAATTGCTGTTCCAGAAAGCTAGCACAGATACAGAGTCAAATGGCCTCTTTTTGTGTTGTAACTGTTCTGTAACCCAAAAAAACCAGTTGAGTCAATAGAGAAGACGAGAAAGGAAGAAATTAAGACAGAAATTCCTAGACGTAAATGATCAAAATATACAGAGGTTCCAAAAGGTGACAGGACAAATTGACATGAGAGATAGTAGGAACTGCAGATGCTGGAGAATCCAAGACAACAAGGTGTAGAGCTGGATGAACACAGCAGGCCAAGCAGCATCATAGGAGCAGAAAGGCTGACGTTTCGGGCCTAGACCCTTCATCAGAAAAGGGGGAGGGGAAGGGGGTTCTGAAATAAATAGGGAGAGAGGGGGAGGCGGATAGAAGATGGATAGAGGAGAGGATAGGTGGAGAGGAAACACACAGGTCAAAGAGGTGGGGATGGAGCCAGTAAAAGTGAGTGTAGGTGGGGAGTTAGGGAGGGGATAGGTCAGTCCAGGGAGGACAGACAGGTCAAGGGGGCGGGATGAGGTTAGTAGGTAGGAGATGGAGGTGCGGCTTGAGGTGGGAGGAGGGGATAGGTGGGAGGAAGAACAGGTTAGGGAGGCGGGACGAGCTGGGCTGGTTTTGGGATGCGGTAGGGGGAGGGGAGATTTTGAAGCTTGTGAAATCCACATTGATACCATTGGGCTGCAGGGCTCCCAAGCGGAATATGAGTTGCTGTTCCTGCAACCTTCGGGTGGCATCGTTGTGGCACTGCAGGAGGCCCAGGATGGACATGTCGTCTGAGGAATGGGAGGGGGAGTTGAAATGGTTCGCGACTGGGTTT